TTGATAATCTCAGAAACTCTCTTTTCGATTTGTTCTTTGACAGAAGAAACTCTTTCTTCAAACCTATTTTTAACCGTGTCTATTCTGCCTTACATAGCCTCGAGTTTGTTTAATATTATGCAGGTAATTTTGTAAGATCTGTCTCTGTTAATCCACATAAACTAAATTAGTTCCTACAATGAACCTGGCGAATTCTCGCACATGTGTGAATAAATTGCCAGCACAGAAAAGGATGAAAGAAACCCTTTATTTAATTCAAATAATTAACAGAAAGGCACTATTTTCGTGTTTTACAATGGCACTGTCAACTTGCAGTGAAATTGAAAAGTAGAATAATTCAAATCAAAATCTAAAATAAGGTAGTAATGGATTAAAACATTAAATTACCCCTAACAGGTTGACTAACAAAAACCTAACAGGCGGGATGATAATCCGGAATGGCCAAGAGGCTTACTAGCGTAACTGCGAAATAGCAACGAAACGTGCGCTGGCTAGCGAAAACACGCTCTGAATAAACTGAGAGATTCACCCTTTTAAATACGATCTTAACTTTAAATTTACATCCTGGCGAGAAAATGTAAGGGGAACTTGAGAAGTTCAGTAAATGTATCAAACTTAAAATAAATTTGTCATGCAAAATAAGGAAACTTTACTTTTTATTTTTTTCAATCATTTATTGAACAGCTTCCATCTCTTCTTTAATAATTCTTGGCCAGCTACCCTCTTTCCCTAAACAGCTTTCATTTCTACTTTAAGAAAATCTTGGCCAGCTCTCATCTCTCCTTAGATTGCAGCAAAGGCTACCACCAGCTGTCTTAATTGTTCCACACTGATCTTTTCAGTGGCACTCAGTCCGGCTTCTGACACCAAAAATTTTTGAGTGCGTACGGGTTTGTAATATATTGATATTACGAATATAGCTTTCACCTTGCCGTTGAGAAATCTCCAGCACTTCTCAAAATTACTCGAAGTTATATGAAGTCAGGTATGGCTACAGTTGCATGTAATGCAGGAACAAGATCGAAATGTCGCCAAATAGTCGCCAAAACCGTTGCCAGCTTGCTGATGTCTCTCCAAATTAGCGAGATAGCTATTTCCTCAATGTTAAATAGGCTTACCCCTGTATTCTTACTTTTCCTGCAAGCTCCATCTCTGTAGATTTTCATGTTACCTTGTACTGAAAAATAGAACAATTTCTCATATAACTGCACTAAAATGATCTGTTAAATGTTAGAGCAATGCTGTATCTAACGTTAATATATAGCCTAAGACGCGCTTTCGAGGCATAAGAAATGCAAGTTAAACTTCGTCGATTGACTAAAAAATATCCAATTTTCTATTTTCCCTGCTTACTATACTTTACGTCAATACAAAAGGTCATTTATGAATATGAAATGCTCTGTGATAAAATAAGAACTTTAAACTTCCAAGTAATGATTGTTTTTCAGTAGATTCATAATAAGATTGAATAATAAAAAATTTCAAATTCGAATTAAGAATTTATGAATGCACTTAAAATTCGTTGAAAGATAATGATGATGCCAGACGATTTATAAATTATGAAGAATTGTCTTAGAGAGGAGAAGTCTTAGGGCTCATATTGTAACATTTCATTTAACTAACTGATAAAAGCCTGATTTGCATCTTTACTTTGTGCTTAGTTTCGTCACGACCAGCCGGCAGATTTGCTTGGCAAGAGGCATAGTATACGTAGATCACGAGAAGGAATCGTAGCCGCATATACACTGGTGGGCAAAAATTAAGGACGAAGTCGAAAAATTAGCATATCAGCTAAACGAAGAGGCAGAGCGGACTGGAAGACCAATCAGGAGATTAAGTAAGGTGATGTACATGCGCAGATATGCAAGTAGACGTAATGGGGGAGTGTCTGAGTAGTATACATCATGTTGTCGGTGTAAGATCAATATTTCTGGCAAAGAGATTGCACGCCGTATAGCAGTTAAAATCACACCAAATTGCTGCCTCAGCGAGAAATAGCGAATAATCAATCTGTTAGACGACATCTGGATGCTTTTACCCGAGGTCGAATCATTGGGAAGTTGGAAGAAGACCGTAGTGTGACAAGTGTGGCTGCAGAGTCCGGAATTGCTCACAGCATCGTTTCACAACTTTGGAGACAATTTCAAACTACAGGAACAGCTATCCGGGGGTTTAGTAGTGGTCGTCCACGAGGAACCACAACGGCAGATGACCGGTATATTGCCTTACAGGCCAGAAGGGACAGGCGGCAGACAGCGGGAGAAATCGCTAGACACACGACACAGGCGACTGGACGACCGATATCGCGTTTTACCGTGGCCAGAAGTTTGCGCGGTGGTGGTCTGTTTGCACGACGCCCTGTACGGTGTGTACCTCTAACGCCTGCCCATCGGAGAAGGCGTTCTCTGTGGTGCCGAGAACACCGGAATTGGAGAGACAATGAATGGGGACGAGTACTCTTTACAGATGAGAGCAGATTCAGTCTGAGTAGCGATTCTCATCGCATACTCATCTGGAGAGAGCGGGAAAGCCGCAATCATCCCTCGAACATCATTGAAAGGGACAGGTATGGAGATGGCGGTGTTCTCGTTTGGGGAGGCATCATGCTTGGTAGTCGTACAGACCTACACATATTCGACGCAGGTTCAGTTAACGGGACCCGTTATTGTAACGAGATTCTTCTTCCATATGTGCGTCTTTTTAGAGGCGCTATGGTTCCGCAGTTCCTTTTCATGGACGACAATGCACCATGTCATCGCACAGTGGCTGCCAAACAGCTCTTAGAAAGTGAGGATATTGAACGTATGGATTGGCCGACACGATCTCCGGATCTCAATCCCATCGAGCATGTATGGGATTTTCTAGGCAGACGCTTGGCAGCTCGTACCTTACCACCAGTAACGATTCCGGAGCTTCGATTGGAGCTGCAAGACGAATGGGCAGCAATGCCTCAACAACTCACTAACACCCTCATTCTCAGCATGGGCAGACGCTGTGAAACCTGCCTAGCAGTCAGGGGAGATCATATCCCCTATTAAAGACAGGATGTTTCTTACTGGACACCCATCACAGGGATGTTTCGGCCTTCAGTCGCATTGTGCTCCATGCTACTTTTTCAATAAAGTTTCTTTTTATCCCTCTGATTTCTCTTTTAGTAAGTGTTGCTTATATTACTCATGTCCTTACGTATTGGGAATCTTACGGAATTAAATGTGTTGATTTGGAAAGCTATTGTACAAAGTTTTATTGAAAAAACCGTTTCGTCCTTAATATTTGCACACCATTGTATTGCAAAATGTAGACGTTTGCCTCTGCAACGGCTGCCATGTTCGCCTTGCAGCCTGATAAGAGTTTGCTAGACATTGGTCCAAAATGGTGAGTTCGCACTGAATATATTGAAAAAAAAGAGGGGTCAGTCCTATATCTCCCGTTCTACTGGACAAATTGACGAAATTCAAATTGCGTTTTTCATGTTTTGAAAGCACGACTACGGAAATTATTAGTCTTATATATAGCATTGTTCTAACATACGTATTTTGACACAAAATCGGACTTATTTTGCAACGACATGCCAATTTCGATTCGACAACTCAAATTATGCTAAACTGACAAGTTTTATAAAAATCGCAAGAATTTTTTTTTTAAATTAGCTCTCAAAATTTTAGCTCCTCAATATTGAATTTGATATATATTTATTTATATGTCTTCTTTTATTAAACTTCCTTGATTCCTTCTAACAGAATTCGAAATTTAGGCTTAATCCAAATATATTGTGCACTTTTTTATGATTTATTTTTAAAATTTGTATTTTTTATAAATTCGAAACATTTCTGTATTATAACCTATGAAATTTTTAATATCATATGAAAGTAGATGTATTTCTAGGCACACCTGTAATAAATTTTTTTTAATTCAAAATTTGCTAAAATATACGTGAATTTACATATTGGCGCGTTTTTAAATTTGGCATATTTGTTATAAGCGATAATAACGCCAAATGTGGTTTACACGGTTTGTTAAAATTATCTGAAAGTATGAACGATGATGCCGCCCAGACGGTATAGTGATTAGGGAAGCCGACTGGAAAACCAAAGGGCCCGGTTTCGAATCCTGGGGAAGGCATAGTTGTAAATGTCCGTCCCTTCATACGAGACAAAGGTAGCCCACCTATTATGGTCCTCCATAATAAAGTGATCACCACATCTGGCCTTAGTAGTAACCAAGCCAAATTCGGCTGAGGGCCAACCATTGGTTAAAGCAAAATTTCGCTCCTGTATTATGAAAAAAAGGGAAAGGAAAATGGGTTGCCATAAATTAAGAAGTTCGCGAAGTGAATTATTCTCACGCAAACTGAAAAAATTCCTTAAGATAGATTTTTGAATTTCTCCGTAAATTTCACACCAAAATTTAATATTTAGGCATAATTAGAGTCGTAGAATCGAAATATGGAAAACAACTGGTATGTCATTTCAGAAAAAGCCCGATACTGTGTCAAAATACCTATATTAGAACAATGCTATATATAAATAAAATGTAGTATATCCTACGTCGTGCTTTTGAGACATGAAAAACGCAATTTGAATTTCGTTAATCGGCCCAGTAGAATGCAAGATATAAGAACTGTCCTTTTTTTTTCGCAGTGTATCTCTACTATTTCTAGTCGAATTGTAAGTTCCAGTTACTTGTTGCAAAATCAAGGAGATTTATTTTTTGTTTTCTGATATTTTAATTTATTACTCACAACCTTCACAAACTGAGGGTTAAAATAAAGTTACATTTTCACTTGCTCCGTTTTTACATGTTATATATATGCTTATGTTACCACAATTAATTTAAGCTACACACAATAAATCACATCATATTTTTAAGGTAACCTTGGTAAGGGTGAGGGTTTGATTAAAGTGCGAGTTAGTTATGAATATCCCGCAATTTTTAGAATATTTACTTGCGTTCTAAGAAATATTTTTAAAATTAGTTAACTACAAGGAAGAGTCGCCATGTAAAGGTTCACTGCTTTATTATAGAAGAAAACAGTTTTCAGACATTTTAAAATAGTTTTATTGCCTCGGAAGGAAGACAGAAGAAGCCTTAGTTGTCGCTGCTACATTTATGAAGATCATTCCCAAATTTCTCAAAAGCAAGTGCTTTCATTATTATCTTTTGTGTTCTTTAAACCTAATAAGAGGAAAAAAAACGTGAGTTAGAGATCAAAATATATTTACTATATAGCTCTAACTATAAAATAATTACAATTTATCTAGAGGTTTACAATTACATTTTTGATACTGCCTAGACAGTTACAATTCATGTACTTAGGTAGTATCAGAGAGATTAAAATACTATTTTATTCCAACAATAAATAAATAATTAATTTAACTAACAAGTAATAGCCTGCAGACCTTAGTATCAAACGAAACTAAAGAAACGTTAGCTTTCTCAACGAATTTCGTTTTCTTTTATTATTAACTTCCTCACATCTGAGAGCAAAATACGTTTGAAGCGCTGCATAATTTCAAAAATAATTAATACCTTAAATAACAAATAATATTATACCTATCAACTTTAGTATCAGATAAAACTGAGAAACGCCTACTTTTTCAACGAATTTATTTGTGTTTTATTATGACATGCCTCATATCTGCAAAGCAAAATGCGTGATGAACAATCTTTCAGTCTTCTTGCCAGAGATTTGAAGCCTTTTAAAATCCATGCTTATTTGTCCAATAACACACTTGACGCTCTAGAAAAATAATAAACTCCCTTTATTTTGTCCTGCGCTAATTTAAACTATTGTTTCCAAACAATTAAACTTGTAAAAACTAAATAAATTTTTCTCTAAATTTGAAAAAAAAATTTAAATTAATTTAAATTATTTTTTTTACCAAACAATCTCCGAACATTGCATCAATAAGCAAGAAAATATAAAACAAATTATACTTTGAAATACTGTCTTTATAAAGAAATAAGAGCAGTTATGTTTTTTATTCTAATATGTAAAAATTAGCTTCTCTAAATTAAAAACGCCTTATATATTATAATAGACTAATTAATCTTCCTTAGACAATCAGACGGAAAAGAAGAATAAAAAATAATTTTCTCCTTTTTTTTAATTAATATAAAATTGTGTTTAATTTTGTACATCTTGTCAAATTTTGTAAAATCGGAAATACAAATTCAATCTATTAAGTTTTTCCATTAAGTTTAGAACTGTGCTTGATTTCTATGAGAATCACAATTCTGAATCCAATATTTTATTGATGTAAGGTTGCAAAGGGAATCAAAACATTAAGTACTCTCTTGGGAAATCTTAAAATCTATTTTATGGAATACAAAATTTTTGAAAAAGGCACAAACATATGCTTCATTCTTGATGAAGAATTTGATCATACTTCTGTCAGTCTCTATGGTTCTATCAATCTCTTTTATTCTTCAGTGCTAAATATACAAAATAACGACTTCTGCAAAGATTTTGAACTCATTAAAACCAATTATAAACTAAGAGTTTTGATAGAATTTAAGTCTACTGAAATTTATTTGAGAGAAGTATTTGTCAAAGTAAACAATTAGTTATACTGGATTATTTTGAAAGTAATTTAGCTTATAATATTGACGACTGGACTTCAGATTATTTTTCCAACGAAACAAATAAACGGTAAGGAAAATTAACTTTTTCCAGCTGTGCTCTTTCTTCATTCTCATCTTTTGTTCTAAATGTAGCCAAAGTATCTAGGTTCACGCAGATGATTGCGGAGCACTGTTGTCTGGTGATTACTATTTTGTGCAAAGATCGCTTTGATATTTTATCGCTTTGACGAAGAATGTAATGCATCAACGATCTACATGCAAACGTGGACATTTTTTTCTTTTTTCTCGGGTATTATTCTTTGGAGCTGTACATACTAATTCTGTTAACTAATTTTTTATTTTAAACCATTTCATATTTGTTCATTTAAGGAACCTCAGTTCACGAACTGAATTAGATTCTGAAATGTTCGTAAACCAAAACAAATTTCTCCATAAGGATTAATGTAAAATGGATTAATTAGTTCCTGGATCACAGGATAATAAAATTTTACAGCAGTACTTTGTGCACAAGATTTTTATAATCCAAACCATTGCCGAACATAAATGGGCATAATCGAAAGTGTTCCTAACCAAAAATGAAAATCATTGAATACCCTATAAAAAAGGTAAATATGATATTAAACTGATAACATACATGAAAACTTAAAAGGGTATGACAAAAGTGGAATATGATGACGAAGATGTTATTATTTAGATGCGAATTCCCTTCCATAAAAATCCACCTTTAAGGCACATCCCCTTTTATCTTTTCATTGACTTAAGCGTTGTTCAACGCCAGTTGAGACCTAATGGGCCTCTGTTTCACTCAATACTTGTCCAATATGATTTGTTGTTACCTGCGTTTTAAAATATTTTTATCATGAGACATGACATTGTCGTTGAAAATGTTTATACAGTAGTTTCTTCTTTCTCTCCTTCAGCCCACCAGCGTCCGAGCGGTAAAGTCGCTGAACACTGGTAGTTCGGTCTAAGGTTCGAATCCCGCGAACAGGCTGGCTGCATGGGTGTTTTCGTGGTTTTCCCCATGTGTAACGTGTATACGAGCCAGTTTCCCTTAGAAAGTCCTCCACGAAGGCATCTCTTCCCTTAGGCAGATAGCCTTCTAGGCTTTGCCGTAATTAAATAACCTAACCTAACCTTTCTTTCCTTCAGAAGATCATTGACAATTACCTTTTCTTCCTGCTTCTGAAATTGCAGTTCTTTCTTGTTGAACTCATTTAATGGTCATCTAGTAACTTCTCCACGTCCCCTTTGTAGCCCATTGTTATGCTTAGGGACACAGTAACGTAGATAACAAGAAACCTCCTAAGAATCAAAGCCCTCAGAACCTCTAACTGCAACCCAATCCTTTAAGCCGAAATTGTGATCTTGCAAGTTAGTTGCTACCAGGCTTTAGAAAAGGGATCTAATCATTTGAAAACATTAAACTGTTGTTTCCAAAAAAATCCTTAAATGTTAATTATGTGGCGTAACTTACCTCAAAACACTTTTGAAAATCTTATGTTGATGACCTTATTATTCGTAACTCGGGATACGTTTCCTCCTACAAGTTTTTTGTTGAGATTATTTGTTAGCGAATCGATTTTTTCTAAGGCTTTCTTGATCCAAGATTCCATTGTACTCCTTAAATAACTCACAAGAACTATTTGTCCGTTACACCACATTTGTGAGTTCATGCAGAAAAATTAATATCATAAAGTATACTGAACCTTTCTCTTTTTTTTCTTTACTTACTAAAATCAGAGACATAAAACCTTGGATTTTGAGAGTTAATAAAGTAGATTTATCACATAAACATCGGTACATTTAGTGCTAAATGGTTGGCAAATTGTTAAATTAAAAAAAATTATAAAAGGTATAAGGTATTTCTCCCATCTTCTTAGCATGCCTTCGTGGTGTAGTGGTCAGCACGCTCGACGCGAATTCGAGAGGTCCGTGGTTGAGTCCCGGCGAGGGCATTGCTCATTTTTCATCTTTCCGACCTCGAATTAACCTAACAGTCTCTACAGTGGTGCCCGATCTAAAAGCTGGCGAATTATGGTTCTTCACCACCAAGATTTGGCGATTCGGTCCCCTAAACCTCAGTCGCGCTTTAAAAGGGGAATATACTCGTATAAGGTATTTCTCCCGCCTTCTTAGCATGCCTTCGTGGTGTAGTGGTCAGCACGCTCGACGCGAATTCGAGAGGTCCGTGGTTGAGTCCCGGTAAGAGTATTGCTCATTTTTAATCTTTCGTGCTTCGAATTAACCTAATAGTCTCTACGAAGGATGCGATTCGGTAAATCGAACGTATAAAAAGGAAATTCGCAATTTTAATATCAAATCCTAATAAAAAATAAAATTGCATTTTTGGGCTAAAAATTTATATCTTAAATTAGAAATTGATCTACATGTATTATCTTTCTCCTATATGAAAACTGTTCAAGATTTTCAAAAGAAATCTGAGCAGCGGTTGAATGAATTACGTAAGATCGGAATACATTTGTCTTGTTGTATTTGTATGAATAGTTTGATCACAAAATGGTGCAAATAGTCCATACGTTACAAATCTCCTATATTGAATTTATTCCTGTTTCCTACCGGTTAAGTTCTGGATAATGCATTACATCTTGCAGTATTGCTATTTTCTGTTCGTTCGTATATGGAAGTTTATGGCGCGCCATTTTTACAGCACATTTACAGCTGAAGAAATTCCGTTCAAATTCTAAAATGGGAAGGATTATAAGTGGAAATTGAAAACATTTATCTAAACTGCAGCTATGATAGGTTTTTCATGATTACCATCTTTTTAACACAAGTATTTATTTATTTCTTTTGAAGAAGGACTTTTTATAGCTTGTACATGTGAGGTAAATCAATGGATGATAAATCGCTTGACTATTGACATTCGTGTTTACATTGTACCAAATTGCTAATGATTGTTTTACATTAAAGAACCCGAAATCTGTGATTACAGCAATTGAAACTCTACTTCAACGCTCTAATACAAACAATGTATATGACACAAACATACAAAAGTTTTATATTGCAGTACAATGCAAAACATACAAAAGTTCTGTATTAGAAACCAAAACATGCAAATGTGCCAGTACAAAAATCACATCCTCTCGAAACCCAAAAATGGAAATATTGAAAATTCTACCTGAAAAGTTTAAGTCTTAAGTAAATTAGAGAAAAGAAACAATTTTTGGCAATAACAAATATTAATAGCTTCGAACCCAGATGGTTAACATACTTTAGAAGTAACCTTTTTATAAACCAAATCAAGCGACCATACCGAGTCAACCTAGTCAAGCGACATGAATCATTCCTAATTAATTTATGCTTTCTAATATCGAAAATTAATGCATTCATTAATTCTTGCCAAAAGAGATCATTGGTGCATAAAAAGGTGGTTAAACCAGAAATTTTATTGAATATCTTAAGTTTATCTATTTAATTATGCGAAATTTAATTTTCAAATGCTAAATACTTAAGATTAGGTGAGTGCAAAATTCTACCTATTTCTGAAAATACAAATTATGCTTATAATGCTGCAATGACTGGAATTTTTTTGCGATTAAAATGTGCAGGCCTACAGTATATAAATACAGTACGTTTTTAAGCGTAAGTCATTTGTAAAAATTTAAACGGTTTTAAATATTGAAAAGTATATCAGTCACTGTTTCTTGTACGAGTTTGATAGATGTCTTAGCATGCCAGAACATGGTTGCAGTTGACCATATGTCATCGCTGGTTTCAGAAATTCAAGTCTGGGGACTGAAACTGTAAAGGCCCGTTCCCACTGGGGTTTATCTAAGCTAACGGAGACAACTGACATAGCCGACCCATCTCCAAAACCAATTTTTTCTCCACAGAGCAGCCAGTTGAAAAATCTTAGCTGCAGGCATAGCGGAGCTAGTCGACACATGGAACTGACTCCGTTAGCTGAGATAAACCCCAGTGGGAACGGAGCTTTAAAGATCAACTACGCACCGGTCGTCCAACAATGGTTTCTGAGCAGATTCTGGACATTGACATATCTAATTGTCCCATATTCAACTACTGAGGATTTAGTGGAAATGCTATCTGTATAATGGACAACGGTTGATAGAAGGTGCATGCATTTGAGTTTATCAGAGAACTAGATCAGTGGGTATCGTATCAGGTTTCTAAAAAGGGCCGTTGCCACTGGGGTTTATCTGAGCTAACGGATTCAGTTCCATGTGTCGACTAGCTCCGCCATGCCTGCAGTTCAGATTTTTCAACTTGCAGCCCTATGGGAAAAGACTGGTTTTGGAGATGGGTCGGCTATGTCAGTTGTCTCCGTTAGCGCAAATAAACTCCAGTGGGAACGGGCCTTAAAACGCAACGACAAATGAGAACTGGTTCTTTTATTTCTTTCGCTTTTTGTTCCCAAAAGGAACCATTTATGGAACAAAGTGTAACGAGTAATAAGAAATGGGTATTCTATTTAATTTACTCCAAACATCAAAGAACTGTATGTGGTGTAGAAAAGCATAGTCCACTTAAAAAGAACTGTACCCTCAGAAAGGTTAGGTTATGATGAAATATGATACACTGGGAATTGTTGCGACTAACCAAACCATTAATGCTGGAATGAAGAGTCAGTAATTGGACAGACTGAAGCAAAACTTAATACTTAAGAGGCCAGTGGTTGCAAATCACAAAGTAGTTATTTTTCAGCACACGTATTAGAGACACTGCAACCATAAAACTAGATAAAAAGTTTATATTTCATTTTATGTTTAAATTAATTTTTAAATTAAATATTTATCAATTTGCGCAAAACGATATCGGAATTATTCTTATAAGCTTGTAGTAAAAATAAACTAAATTTACTACTTGTAATAGAAATAAACTAAATGTTAGATTTACAGTCAAATTAAACTATTAGTATTAGAGTTCTAAAATTGGTACAATAATTTTTTACCCCAAAATGACGCTATCCCGAATAGGCTAGGCCTCGAAACGGGATTTTTCGTCGTCCACTATATCTGAATTCTATCGGATTTTATTTTATTTTATGTTTCTATTTTAAATTGATCATTTTCAGGAGCTTTACATTCAAATAAAAAAATATCCTGAGATTATTTTATTACCTTTAAATTTTTCAAATATATATTTATAGAAACTTAATAGTTACTAGATTTTCAAGTTCACATAATACATGAGATATAGTATTTATTTCCATGAGCATTCTCTAAAATATATTCTTTTCTTAACCTGTAAAAGATATCAGTATTTTACGTAATTTTTAAGCACCCAGTTACTTTAATTTTTCATAAAATGTAGTTTTCTGATAATTGCCTGATTCTGCTAACTTTCTGATATATGGATAATACTTCAAGGTCTTCAGCAGTACTAACAGTAACAGCTTAGTACCATTTCTTTTCTAATTCCTTCAATTAAATACCTAATAATATTTTTAAAAAATATCTGAAAGAGTTCAGATTTCAGCGATCTCCCATAAGAATATGTTAAGGTTTTTTACGCTCTCGATGAGCTCATACTCTATCAGTCTGCTTTTGCACTCACTTCTACTAGCTTTGCTTTTTAGCATCATTTTTCTCGTACATAGCCGTATACAATTCAATAGCAAAATTATAAAAATTCGTTCAAATGGATACGAGAGTCGTCAAAATGATTATTTTTGTTGAAATATGATGTCCAAAATTTTTCGATATCACAATACTTCCTTTCATTTGTACAAGGAAATAAAAAAGAAAGTTTTCATTTTCGACCAGAACGATTAATTTTCTTTAAGAACACTTCACTTTCTTCCACAGTATGAACGAAAGTTTTCCTAGTCCCTTAAAATTTACATTAAAAATAGAATTATTTATTATGCAACTCATTCTTTATTTAAAATCGATATCCATGATCAGTAGTTCATTTACATCATCACTAGGAAAGGAAATCACTCAGAACGGAATTCTTCATCTCTTAACTTAAAATGGAAGCCCAAATATTATATGTTTCCGACAGTTTTTCAAAAATAAATCATTGAAAAACCTAATTAAATATAAAAGAATAAAAATATGTGATACAAATTAAAAGAAAAGATGAATGAATAAAGTTTTAATTATAAAAAAAGAAAGAAAAAATATGAAGGCTTTCAGATTTTGTATTACTCTCATAGGAGCGTTTTTCTCCTTTACACATGCATACACCTTTCCTCAGCATTTAGACTAACGCACCTGTAGGCTAAAATATCTAAAAACAGCATATCTTTAGAGTTTCCGATAGACAGTCTCGCGCGCTGACGATAAAAATATTTTATTCGGTACAGTGTGTTACCACTGCTCGCTTTGCAGTCGTTCAGTTTCTTAAATAAAAATTTGTTAATGATTAAAAAATAAGAAACAGATAATAAAACAAAATCAAAATTCAAGATTTGGTGTTCTAGATGGGCATATTCGGGTGGACGACTACGTTATTCAGAATTTGATAGCTGTAAGTGGCGTTATGTTTTCGCAGTGCGAGAAATATACCATACCATCATGAAGATTCTTCATTATTTGAGTTCTTTAAATTTAATACGAGGCGATAATATTTGGTGGTAACAATTTGAAGAGTTATACAGCAGTTTATAGTTATTCGACGCAAAATGTTGTTTCCAGACTAACAGCTCTTCTGGGTTAACGCCCATTGGGGTTGAAGATTTTAAAAGCAACATATCTTTAGAATGTCCGACAAACAGACAGTCTCGCACGCTAGAGGTAAAAATACTTCATTCCATACAGTGCTGCATTGCTCGCTTTCAAATCATTCTATCAATATGAAATAGATAAAAATTAATTAACGATTTAGAAAATATGAAATATGATATTGAAAATTAAAAAATCGGGCAACGTTATCCTCCACACGAACATGTGCACCTGGCACATGTTCGTGTGGAGGACAATGTTATTAAAAATTTAATTTATTGTCTTTTTAAAAACGATCCGTTAAATTTCTGTCTTTAAAATACTATAGATATCGTCTTTTTTTCACAATGCGAAGAATTTGCATACATACATGCAGATTCTTCATTAATTTCTTTAAAGATAATACAGGGCGAGAATATTTGATGGCAACAATTTGAAAAGTGATTCTCCCTTCATAGTGGACGATGCAAATTTAATAAATAATCTAATAGCCCATTAGCCCATTCGGGTTAAAAATTTTTTGAAATATAATTATTAATTTACACAATACACACATCACGTACCTTAAATGATACTTACTTTACCGAGTTCCTAGCGTCTCATCTAATGATCCGCACTTCCCTACACTTTTCATTTGAGGCATAGCTTCAATTATAGCCAGCATTGTCGATATCAAAATCAAACCAAAGAATAAACAATGCTGCAAAAATTCCATTTCTTAAACTATCTTCTCGAATTCGAAAGCAAACTCGATTACAGAATTTCCACAAGCACTGTGAGTTCAATTTATAGAAAGAATTTTGGAAAAGAAATGCATGATGTCATGGTATGATGAAGCAAGATAATATAATCGAAATGAGCAATCAAAATAAGAAACTATTGCTGAAGAGTTTGCTATTTATTCAGGTTTTAGCTTACTTTTATTGGGTAAATGGATCATAAGTATATATTTTATTTATTCAGATAGAACTTTCGCTAAGTTGAATTAGGAATTTGAGTTCCAATTTCATGACGAATATGTTTTGAACGTTAGATAAGTTATTGATGATAACTTCTAAATTTGTTTCGTTATTCTTGTATTATTACCGAAAGGTATTTCCTTTTAAAAACTTTCATAAAATATTTTATAACAAACATATCTAAACATATAAAATCTGAAAGGTTTCCGATTTTATTTTAAGCCCAAAGGGGCATTTTTTAACGTTTTGTGTGTTATCTTATTTAAAATATCATCTTCTTGGCACTTAAACCATAAAATTCCATTCAATAGCAATATCACAAAAAAAAAGAAACCTAACGCATAAAATACTCGTGCTTATAGATGTACGCGATGTTAATGTTATAGGGCTCTAATATTTGATGGCAACAATTTGAAAAGTGGAACGCCGTTTATAATGAACCAACGCAAAATGCCAAAACGCAATTAATAGTCCTTATGAGCTAACACTCGTTTGGGCTAAAAAATCTTCAATATGAAGCTTATGAGAAAGAAATTGTATGTACAGGTCACATATTCAAAAACAATAAACATTCCAAAAAAAAAAAAGAAAGGAAAGGAAAGAAGAAGAAGATATATCATAATTGTAAAGCTAGAACATCAAAATGTTTCAATTACTAAATTCACAAACATTTTTTGAAGAAAATATGAAAAACCAGTAATTTTCAACTGCTTCGTCGACAACCTATAATTTTCTATCAAGTGGAAGAGGTTTACATATTTTTCTTGTCTGAGATGTTCATAAATAAACTTTCTTCAAAACGTACGTCATTTTAAATTCTTACTTTAGATAAAGAAGTAAATAAATTTTGTTTATTGCACATAATAAGGGAATGAAAGAGAAGAGGAATGATGATTTCGTAATCCTGATAAATTGCATTTCAAAATTATGCCCTTTAATTCAATTTAAATCATTATTCTGAGGAAAGCATATTATTGTTAATTTTTTTTAAACTAAGTTAGATTTGCCGCCTAGTTTATAAATAATCTAAATAAGACAAATAATTCCTAGCATAATCTACTAAGTTTACGAAATTATTTTTTCTATACCTGAAAAACTTTCTAAAAGATAAGCGTCAAATTTTAATGTTACGTATGTGATGTTAGCATTTATCGTTTTATTACCTAGACTTTAGATTTCGACATGGACTGTAATAATCAAACAACATATATCTTAAACATATTTACTGATTATGAATCTAAACATTTTCTTAAAATGTCTCATAAAATTTATGGGGAGTAATCATATTTCTAAGACATAACTTTTTAAAATTTCCTCATTCTGCCTTAAAGGGTTGATAAGAATTTTCAACTTTTAATTTATTTTAAATTCTTGCAGTATTTTTGATTAGCTAGTACGCGAAATATAACCAGTATTAAAAATATTTTTGCCCTGAAGAGAAATTCAGTACATTATTTGATAAAAACTACCAATTTTAAATTAAATTTTGCAACTATTAACAAAAGTATACATAAAAAAACTCTTATATTGAATGCATTTTTCTTCCCGTTTTTAGGTTTATAAGCTAGGTTAGATTTTGCACAAGAAAATTTATTAACAGAAACAAAAATTGTTACAACTAAAGATGAGAATTTGATTGAAATAACGCTTTTTACTTCTTTGTACGAATTAAAAGAAGTATTGTAATCTCGAATAATTTCGGATATCATATTTCAAAGAAAATATCAATTTCAACAGCTCTCGAAACCATTTAATCGATGCTTTTGCATGACATCTGTACTTACGGGCGGAAAAAAAGCACTGTTTTTGCCCAAAAGAATTGTAAATTGAATTTAAAATTGATTGAGATTTTTTCTTCCCGTCCGTACGTACGTAGGTACGTATCTCGCATAACTCAAGAATGACTAGCTGCAGACCAGTGCAATTTTGTATATGGGGCACAGAAATCCTTCTGCACCAATCGTATATATATATATTTATTCCCAACTCTATTACCCGGCTCTGAGCTTAGTTTTTACTTCCTTGTCCGAAGTAAAGGAAGTATTGTAATCGCGAAAATTTTCGGGTATCAAATTTTAACGAAAATGTGCATTTTGACCGCTATAGAATGCAATTTAACGATATTTTGGTGTGACATTTGTACGTAAGAACAGAATGCAAAATATTTTAAAATGGATTCAGAAGACAAATTTTCTTGACGTCTGTACGCACGTACATACATACGCATATACGTAAATACGTATGTATGTATATCTAGTATAACTCAAAGACGAGTAGCCTCAAAACTTTGTATATAGGACTGCTATAACATGTACTTGTGCACCTCCCTTTTTGGTTGCAATCGGCCGCCCCAAAAGTACTGCTTAACATCACTTAATTTGGCATGCTGCTCCACTCTCCAAATACAACTATTGTTGGTAAATTAAAACTTACCATTCACTTGACTTTTTAGTATTATTTATGAATTTTTTATAAACAGTATCTAGTTTCTTTTTGATTTATATGCATAATTCGCGTCGGGGAAGTTATTTGTAGGAAGAAGTTACTAAATTACTTTGGTTTTCTAAAAAATTTGGTTTTCTACTCTTAATTGACTTTAATTTTAATTCTTGTATTTACTTGCTTTTTATCAAAATTCCACTTGTTTAAATTTCTTTTTAGTAATTCACAACATTTGGTTTTACTTTTGGTTTTGAATTTTCCTTTTACCCTTGCCTACATGGATGAGGAAACACTAATTGAAGAGTTAGGTTTGGAGGCAACTTCCCCTTGATAAGTCCGTCTCCTGCCTGCTCAACAATTATTTTTATAAATTTTTAGGATTACAAAATTTATTGGAGTTATATATTTATTCATAGATTTTGATACTTGCACTTGATTTACATATGCTCTCAGAATCTAAATGATATTGTAGATTAATTCACAGCAATAATTAATCATTTATTTGTAATTCAATTTTCATTTTAAATTTAATTAACTGTAAATTTGCTTTTTACGAATAAAGAAATATATACATATATGTATATTCACTCTGCCACTCGGCTCCGCGAGGTCAGTGTTTTGTATTCTTATATGCTGGTAAATTGTCCAATTTTTTTTTCTTTTTTTTTTTTTTCAAAAGGATTGAATTATGTTGCTTTTATCTTCTTCTTAAGGTTTTATGCCTTTAGTTAATCTGCATGCAGTAGTTATAGAATTATCAACAATTTGAAAGTTGTTTAAGTGCGGCTAAGCCCAATTTTTTTACCACATCAGCCATATTTGTTTACATTTGGAATTTAGCAGAATATTGATTTAAGTCAATTTCTGCACCTTCAGTGTCCTTTTGCCGAGTGAGACCAAAAGCAAACTTTTGATTTTGTGCACCGAAACATCTGCCTTCTTGTCTGCTGGCCCTATTGCTTGCTTGTGCATGGAAAATTTTGTAAAAATTGTTTTTTAATTGTTTTAACTGTATTTGGCGTTTTATGTTTTTATATATTTTTGAATTTTAAATGAAGCTATTTTGATGTTTTATGTATTTTTGCCTTGCCGCGAAGTGAGAACTGAGGTAATTGAATGAGAAATCTATCTCTAATGAATTTCAGGGAAATAAGTTTAAATGAAATACCTCAAACAATGTGTATAATTTAACAGTCCATACGATGAAGGCATGCGGTACCCGCATCAGATTCCTTCTTACTGCAGAAATGCAGCTCCTTAGAATATTTCTGTTCATTTAGAATAAGTCTGGATTTAATGTAAATAGATATGCCCGTCATAATTTGCTTTCGAAAGTCTAAAAATGTTTTCATTTCTTCGGCATTGAACAGCATGTATCAAAATTGATTTTTCATCATTGTTTCAACGTTTACTGCAACTAATGTTGAAATTAAATACCCGTTTCCATTATGGAAAAACTCAGATCGCAATAAAACAAAGTTTTACGCCAGGTAATCATTTTTATTTTCCCAACTACATCCATAAAAAGAAACTCAATGCCGATATATAGAATGTATCCCCACCTATGTATACAAAGGGACACAATACAACACATAATATACCATTAAATTTTCTATTTTTTGGAATAGAATAAGTTCAATAAAATATTTCTTTCTAAATATTGGACAAGAAAAGTAATTTCAGGAAGCGTAAAATCAGTATAGTTTTGCCAGTCTATTGATCCAAAAGAATCTTTATGCTTTCTCAGAAGCAGCAAATAAAATTTAAGCCAAGCAATTTAACATGAACTGGAAAATGTTTTTGTTGGAACAAATAAAAACATATTTTTTAAACATTCACTAAAATAACTTGCTTATAATTATAATTAGTTTCATAATTAGTTCAATCATAGCTAGTTAGATAAACATAATTCGTAAAGTTAAAAACTTATCCTTTAAATTGCCTTACAAATATAAAGATAAAAATAAAGCAATATTTTAATTTAAGTATGCTGTTTAGCAAATATATGTAATGATATATAACAACGCATTAATTAACTTCAGTAACATATATCTAAAATGAAATTTAATTAAGAATGCAGTTATAAAACGCATTCATAACAATGATAAAGTTATTTTCAGCATTAATAATTTAAATATTAATCTTTACAAACCCATGATTATTGTTCATAAAAAAGGAGACTTTGAGGAATCTAAAAGAAAATTTTTTATTTCTTTTAGATTGAGATTAATAACATTTTAATCATTTAAAATATGTATATGCTAAATGTGCAGATGTGAACGCTTTATACATTTTGTCAAATGTTTTAAAAATGTATAAACAGTTCTGCCTGTCACCGAAATCAAAATTAGATGTAAGATTTTTTTTTTTTAAATTGTAATAGGCAAGAAATATATGAAGC